GATTTTTAATGCTGCATTATTTGCTGAAATGGCATGTATGCTCCTAAGATCATATTGTAGATGTTTCAAACGTCTTAGTAATGGTGATTGTAGGAAGATCCATTTTGGATTACTTGGATAAAAATAATGTGCAAGGGTATGGGGAGAAAATCAAGCAATTCGCACTCATATATAATAGGTAATAGTACTCATTTAATGAGCCGGTGCAGACGTGATGAGCCAAGGGTTTTTTGTGCCATAACACTTCTGTGGTAGCGCTTTGAGCCTGCAATAGTGAAAGAATGGCAATATATTCCAAGTCAGAGTGTTGTGTGGCTTGGACATTTACAGTACTTACAACTGATGGTGTTCCCATGCAAGTGCTGCCCTTGTCCATTTAGGTGTATGATGATACTGTGGCTTTAAGAGGTATATTTTTCATTTATTTTGAAGAGAGGTTTTAAGACAGAGGCGCTGAGCTGTATAATGAAAGCCCATAAAATAAACAGCTTGTGGGCCTTGAGGTTTTTATTTAAAAGCAAGAATAATAGAAGCAACCTGAATGAGTGGGGAAGGCTCTCACAGAACCAGGATTTTTAGTTTTAGCTTTTCAATAGCAGCTGCTAGGGTCTTCAAGCTGGATGTGGAAACTGATTTTCCTCTCTTGGTTACAGTTAAAAGCTGGGGGTTCTTCCTGCTGAGATAGTAGAAACTGCCGATGCTGGAGAATCTGAGACAACAAGGTGTAGAGCTGGATGAACACAGCAGACCAAGCAGCATCAGAGGAGCAGGAAAGCTGATGTTTCGGGTCGAGACCCTTCTTCAGAAATGGGGGCGAGGAAGGGGATTCTGAAATAAATAGGGAGAAAGGGGGAGGCGGATAGAAGATGGATAAAAGAGAAGATAGGTGGAGAGGAGACAGACAGGTCAAGGAGGCGGGGTTGGATCCAGTAAAGGTGAGTGTAGGTGAGGAGTTAGGGAGGGGATAGGTCGGTCCAGGGAGGATGGACAGGTCAAGGGGCAGGATGAGGCTAATAGGTAGGAGATTTGGGTGGGGCTTGAGGAGTGGATAGGGAGGCGGGTACGAGCTGGGCTTGTTTTGGGATGCGGTCAGGGGGAGGGGAGATTTTGAAGCTTGTGAAGTCCACATTGATACCATTGGGCTGCAGGGTTCCCAAGCGAAATATGAGATGCTGTTCCTGCAACCTTCGGGTGGCATCGTTGTGGCACTGCAGGAGGCCCAGGATGGACATGTCGTCCAAGGAATGGGAGGGGGATTTGAAATGGTTCGCGACTGGGAGGCGCAGTTGTTTGGTGCGAACCTTGTGTAGGTGTTCCGCAAAGCAGTCCCCAAGCCTCCGCTTGGTTTCCCCACCCCCGACCACCAAAACACCATCTCCCAAACCATCCACAACCTCAGCACCTCAGGTGACCTCCCACCCACAGACTCCAAACTCATCGTTCCCCAACCACACACTGCCCGTTTCTATCTCCTTCCCAAAATCCACAAACCTGACAGCCTTGGTCAAACCATTGTCTCCGCCTGCTCCTGCCCCACCGAACTCATCTCCACTTATCTCGACTCCATTTTCTCCCCCTTGGTCCAGGAACTCCCCACCTACGTCCGTGACACCACCCACGCCCTCCACCTCCTCCAAAACTTCCAATTCCCTGGTCCCCAACACCTCATCTTTACCATGGACGTCCAGTCCCTATATACTTGCATTCCCCATGCAGATGGCCTAAAGGCCCTCCGCTTCTTCCTGTCCCACAGCCCGACCAGTCCCCCTCCACTGACACCCTTATCCGCTTAACCGAACTCGTCCTCACCCTTAACAACCTCTCCTTCCATTCCTCCCAGTTCCTACAGACAAAGGGGGTGGCCATGAGTACCCACATGGGCCCAAGCTACGCCTCTTTGTAGGATACGTGGAACAATCCCTCTTCCAAAGCTACACTGGCCCTAAACCCCACCTCTTCCTCCGTTACATCGATGACTGTATCAGCGCCGCCTTGTGCTCGCACGAGGAGCTCGAACAGTTCATCCACTTCACTAACACCTTCTACCCCAACCTTAAGTTCACCTGGACCATCTCCAATACCTCTCTCTCCTTCCTGGATCTCTCTATTTCCATCTCTGGCAACCACCTGGAAACCGATATCCATTTCAAGCCTACCGACTCCCACAGCTACCTAGACTACACCTCCACTCACCCACCTTCCTGTAAAAAGGCCATCCCCTATTCCAAATTCCTTCGCCTCCGCCGCCGCCGCATCTGCTCCCGAGATGGGACATTCCACTCCCGGACATCCCAGAGTCCTAGTTTTTCAAGGACTGCAACTTCCCCTCCACAGTGGTCGAAAACGCCCTCGACCGTGTCTCTCGCATTTCCTGCAACTCATCCCTCACACCCCCTCCCCACAATAATAACCAAAACAGAATCCCCCTCGTCCTCACGTACCACCCCACCAACCTCCGGATCCAATGCATCATCCTCCGACACTTCCGCCATCTGCAATCCGACCCCACTACCAAAGACATTTTTGCCTCCCCACCCTTATCTGCTTTCCGGAGGGACCACTCTCTCCGTGACTCCCTTGTCTGCTCCACACTCCCCATCAGCCCCACCACACCCGGCCCTTTTCCCGGCAACCGCAGGAAATGCTACACCTGCCCCTACACCACCTCCCCTCACCCCCATCCCAGGCCCCAAGAAGACCTTCCACATCAAACAGATGTTCACCTGCACATCTGCTAATGTGGTATACTATATCTGCTGTTCCAGATGTGGCCTCCTCTACATCGGGGAAACCAAGTGGGGGCTTGGGGACCACTTTGTGGAACACCTACACAAGGTTCGCACCAAACAACTGCACCTTCCAGTCATGAATGATTTCAACTCCTCCTCCCATTCCTTGGACGACATGTCCATCCTGGGCCTCCTGCAGTGCCACAACGATGCCACCCGAAGGTTGCAGGAACAGCATCTCATATTTCGCTTGGGAACCCTGCAGCCCAATGGTATCAATGTGGACTTCACAAGCTTCAAAATCTCCCCTCCCCCGACCGCATCCCAAAACCAGCCCAGCTTGTACCTGCCTCCCTAACCTGTCCTCCCACCTATCCACTCCTTCCACCTCAAGCCCCACCCCCATTTCCTACCTACTAGCCTCATCCCACCTCCTTGACCTGTCCATCCTCCCTGGACCGACCTATCCCCTCCCTAACTCCCCACCTACACTCACCTTTACTGGCTCTAACCCCGCCTCCTTGACTTGTCTGTCTCCTCTCCACGGTTCTTCCTGCTGCTGGAATTTGTTAACAATCTGTTTTTCTGAATTTACCTTTGTCAAGAGTATGTTTTTAGGACGTTCCTATATTGGAACAGCTGCTGTTTAGTAGTTAAATAATCTATTATTCTGTCAAGTTTTCCAAAAGAGTTAAGTTATTCTAATTTCTTCTTTCTTTTGTTCTATTTTAACTATAGTGTATGAATAAAGTGTGTTTTGCTTCAAATCCAGTAGGTCGACCAGTCAAATTGTCTCTGGAAAGCAACACCTTACACTTACCTTTAAAATAAGAAAAAGTTAGTGTCTAGACTGTCTTCTGAATATATTTTGAGGGGGGTTTGGTCTGGTCCTTAACTGTTGGTTTTGGTACTAAATTTAAGCTGCTAATGAAAGACCCTTAGTTAGCTGGGTCATCTTGTAGATGGTACGCACATCTGTATGTCAGTGGTGGAGACTGTAAATTGTTGTGGATGATGTGTTGATCAAGTGGGATGCTTTGTCCTGAATGGTGTTAAGCTTCTTGAGTGCAAATAGAGCTGCACTCGTCTAGACAAACGAAGAGAAATCCATCACACTTCTGACTTGTGGCTTGCAAGTGGTCTACAGGCTGTAGGAAGTCAGATGTGATTTAATCACGACAGAAATCCCAGCCTCTAGCCTGCTCTTGTAGCTACAATATTTATATGGTTGGTCCAGTTCGGTTTCTGGTAAATGCTAACTCCTGAGATATTGATAACCAGTGATGGTAATGCCAATGAAAGTCAAATTGTGATTGTTAGATTCTCTCTGTTGGAGATGGTCATTGCCTGGCACTTGTGTGGCACGAATATTGTCACTTATCAGCCCAAGCCTGAATGTTATGCAGCTCTTGTTGCATATGGACACGGGCTGTTTCGCTAGTTGATGAGTCATGGATGTTGTTGAACATTCAACAACCAGCAGCGAACATCCCATTTCTGACCTTATAATGGAGGGGTGGTCATTGATGACGCAGCGGCAAAAAAAAAGTGTTTGGACGTGGAATGCTGAACACCTGCAGAGATGTCCTGGAACTGAATTGATTGACTTTAACAAACACAATATTCTTCTCTTGTGCTAGGTACGATTCCATCCAACAGAGATTTGTCCAAAATCCCATCACTCTGGTTTTACTAGGGGTTCTTGATGACAAGGGCAGCCATTCTTATCTCACATCTCAAATTCAATTCTGTTATCCACGTTAGGACCAAGACAATAATGAGCTCAGTAGCTGATTGGCCTTGGTAGAACCTAAATCAAGCAGCAACAAGCAGTTTATTTTTATGTAAGTACCACTTGATAGCAACAGCAATGATACCTTCCATCATTTTGCGAATAATCAAGAGTAGATTGGTGAAATGGTAATTGGTTGGATTGGATTTGTCCTGATTTTTGTTCACAGGACATACTTGACAATTTTCCACATTAGCAGGTAGATGCCAACATTGCAGCTGTACTGAAATAATTCTGCTGCTGCTGATGGCCCAAAGGATCCCATGTATGCCCAGATTTGATTTGCTAGATTTGTTCAAAATCTATCCCATTTAGCACAGTGGCAATGCCACACAATATAATAACACAAGGTTCCTTAATATGGAATCATTCGTAGGCCAAATCAGGAAAGGACAGCAGATTTCCTTCCCTAAAGGATATAAGTGAATATTTAATAATGACAATAGTTCACATTACTGAGAAACCATTACTGAGACTACTGTTTGTAAATTTCAGATTTTATTAAATAAATTTAAAGCCTTCCAACTACCAACGGTAAAATTATCCTCAGAGAACTAGCCTCAGCCTCTGGATTACTGGTTCAATTTTCTTTAGGTCACCACCTATACAAACGATTTAACGATCAAGGAAAGCACCGCTGAAATTTCCACCCTTACTTGTCTCAGCATCCTCAAATGCACCCCTACTGTTCTTGTGAAATTATTAGCTTTATGCTCAGCAAGCCTTTCTAATACTTCCTCTGCGTTATTGTTTAACTCAATTAGTTTTTCAATTACCTTTTCTTTCAATAGGACTTTGCTGCATCTGTAGTTGTGAAAGATGCTGCAGAAAAACACATTTTCTTTCTAGTATCTTGCACATTCCCGGCTTCCATCGTTGGTTGTGTGTTCAGGTATCCAAGCACTAAGTTCTGGAATTCCCAAGTTAAACCACTTTACTATCACTCTACTACTACTAACAGATTCCTTAACATCTATCTTTTTGACGAAACTTTTGATTAACTGCCTTAATATGTCATGATGTGAATTGATATCAAATTTTGTTTTAAAACTGTTCTGTGAAGTGCTTCAAACTATTTGGCTACATAGGTGTTGGTAGTAGTTATTATTCGGAAAAGCTCTCAGCATTATACAGTAGATAGAAGATCTCATTTTGAAGTCAGATGATGATACATACAAATGAACAAAATTTTTAACAGATTTCTGCCAAAATGATTTTTCTCTAAATTTAGGGCTCTCATTGCACACATATTTAAATGAACAGATGTTTGTGAGAATTCCTATATTAGGAAGCTCACTTTAATTGGCAAGCTGACAAACCCATTCCTCAGAGATTCTGGCTTTTTTAATTTCAGCAGAATCCACAATGTCTTTGAGCATATACCAGAAGTTCCTGGAAAGAGAGGAATGCCTGGATTAGAAAAAAAATAGAACCAATATAAAATCCTCCTCTAATAAATTTTTGGCTTGTTTTTATTAACACTAAAATGGTGTTAGTGTTCTCTACATCTCCAAGGCCTTGAATAATTTGAGAAGTTTTTATTTAGAAACAGTCCAGTATTATTTTCACAGCAGTTAGTGAGACCAATATCACAGAAAAGACATGTAAGTAAGGGTTTGTGATCACTGTCGCCATCTCACTGCCTTCAAGCATAGCTGATTGTAAATTTGAGTTTTGCTAAAATGAAGACATTGTTAAAACATGCTGGCCATATACAGTTAAACATGCTTGCTGAAAGGGAGTGATCCCGTAGTTAATTGTCAAGGCCCATGATTATGGTTAAAATGCTTTTTTCTGGTTGAAAACTGGTAACCGACACAGGTTACTTTGCAGTGAGTAGTTCAGAATTGACGTTAAAATTCCAATTTTAATGGCTCATGATAAAACAGCTTAAATCACATTTATAACTATAAACATAGTAGAGTATAATTTTGGAATCACACTAAAGTACTTCTTCCACTTAGCTGATAAAACAGAAAAGATTTAATATCATCTACAATTAAAGCTAGTTCTATGACTGACTATCAAGTTAATTAATGGTAAAAATTACAGAGTTAATTTCAGTGTAGAAGCATAAGAAAAATGCAATGAGATGTAGGTACTCACGCTCTATCTTCTTTCGTCGTTTTATAATTAATAAGAGTTCTTTCTATATAATTTTCAAGAGCCTGAAACAACATTGGAAAATGTAATCACTTTTATTTCTCACTGACGAATAAAACACTTTAAATAAAAAGTAAATTACATAAACATACTACAGAAAATAACATGCATTTGTGTACAGCCTTTCATGAACACAGAAGATCCTGAAATACTTTTCAGCTAATCAAGTACTTTTGAATTACAACCATTGTTGCAAATCAGTAGTCAATTTGCACACAGCAAATAATAACAAACAGCATTGTGAAAGAAAAACTAGGTCATCTGTTTTGGTGATGTTGAGGAAAAATACTGACCGAGAGAGGAAAACTCCGCTGCTTTTCTTTTCTAACCATTGCAATAAGATCTTCTTTACAACTTGAGAGAGCAGGTGGAATCTCAGTTTAACATTTCATCCATAAGATGACACCTCTGACACTATTGAGTTTCCTCTGTACCGCATTGGAATATCTGCCTGGTATTCGTAATGGCAGAATTTTTGATGATTTAAAATTTCTTTCATATCTTTTTGTGTTCAACAGAAGGAATTAGTTGTCAGCATCAAGCAGGCCAATAAGCACAAGCCACGATGTTCCCTCTGCTCAGGAAACATGTTACAATCACAACCAATATGACACTTTCCTACTCCTACATCAGCCATTTTTAAGGGTAAAGTTGCCATAATTCCAGCAGAGCATAAGGCTGCAGTCTCATTAAAGGGAGATAGTTGGCAGTGAGTTTAACCTGAGGATCACCATGCCTCAGGCAAGGGGCAAGATTGAGAAGGCGGATCTTCATGGTAACCATATGGCGCAGGAATTGAACCACTCTGAATCACAAACCAGCCGTCCAGCCAACTGAACAATGCCATTTTTATAGTGTGAATGTTAGACATTATTATATATCCCATCTTTGTCCTGCTGTATCACTTCTTCACTTCACCTTATCTGTCTTTTGCTCTGCCTCACTAAAAAGAAACCTACTACTCACTGTCTTCCTCTGTCTCTTTCCTGGGGACGGGCCACTGCTACCCTTCCCTGGGGTACCTATCTGAACTAATGCAGCGAGCAGTACCTCGCCTGTAATTGCTTTTGGTCCACCCACAAGGCTCTATCCTCGATGCTCTTCTTTTCATAGGTGGCCTTAATTCATAGGTATGATGTCATGTTCCACATGTATGATGATGGCACCCAATTTTCTCATGCTACACCACTGCTGATTCATCATCCAATGACGTCTTGTCTGACAGCTGAGTAAATGCAAGATATTGTTGTTGGAAGATCAAGAATGGTCTTCAATTCAGCACTGATAGCAGTAAATTATTAAATTATTAGTTTGCAATTAAATCTCTGCTCTTTATCACTTTTCATCCTCTGATTTACCAGACCAATTCCTGGGATGGAAGGACTGACATTTGAAGGAGACTGGATCAGTTGGTATATTCACTTGAGTTTAGAAAAACGAGAGAGGAATATTATAGAAACCAACAAAATTGAAACAGGACTTGAAAGATGTCCCAAGTGACTGGAGAATCCAGAACCCGGGGTCACAATTTAAGGATATGAAGTAGGCCATTCAGTACTGAGATGAGGGGACATTTCTACACTCAGAGAGTGGTGAGTCTGTGGAATTTTTTGACTCAAGAAGCAGTTAAGTTCAAAACATTGAATGCTTTCAAGGAGGAGTTAAATATATTTCTTTGGGCTAAATGGATCAAAGCGTACAAGGATAAAGCAGGAGCAGGATGCTGAATTGGATGATCACCAAGATCATAATGAATGGTGCAGCTTGAAGGGCCAAAAGGCCTATTCTTGCTCCTATTTTCCATAAAACCGTAAGACACAGCCTTATCTGCTAATTCTCAACCACACCTTATTGTCTTTTCCCCATGACACCTCATTCCCTTACTGATTAAATATCTGTCTATCACAGGCTTAAATATACTTAATCACCCAACATTGACAGCCTTCTCCAGTAAAGAATTCTACAGATCCACTACCCACTGAGGGAAGAAATTCCTTTTCATCTCTGCCTTAAATGTGTGATCCCTTATTCTGAGCTTGTGCCCTCTGGTGCCAAACTGTTCCACTAGGCGAAACAACCTTTCTGCATCTACCCTGTCAAGTCCTCTTAGAATCCTTTATGTTTCATGAAGGTCATCTCTCATCCTTCTATTTCCAATCAGTACAAGTCCAATCTACTCAACGAGTCCTCATAATGCAATCTGCCCACTGCTGGTATTAACCTAGTGAATGTTCTCTGGACTGCCTCCAACGCTCGTATATCTTTATTTAGCTAAGAGGCTCAAAACTGTCCATATATTTCAGCCGTGGCCTGACTATTATCTTGTATAGTTTTAACAAAACCTCCCTACTTTAATACTCCATTCCCTTTGAAATAAAGGTCAACATTCCAGTTGCCTTCCCTATTACATTTAGATGCTAGCTTTTAGTGATTCATGGACGAGGACTTCAAAATCTCTCTGTTCCATAGCTTTCTATGTTTTCACGTTAATGTGTTTCCCAGTCTCTGATAACACATTCAGGTAGAGCTCCACAGTGTGAAGCATGGTAGACTAAGTTCAGTCTCTAACCTGACCACCAACAATACTGCCTAATTTCAGTTTGGCATATCACCCACCTTATCACAGAAACACTATTTCATTCTTTGTGGTCGGCACCTTAATGTCGAGGAGAGAAATTAGAGTTAATGTTTTGGGTCCAGCCAATTTTCTTTAGAACTGATTTTAGCTAGGAAAAGTTTGGTATATATGCTAAAGATGGGGAACATTAGTGGCTGACAATGGGTTGGTTGTGGTACCAGTCCATGTGATGACACGGCCTGTTGTGTGGGAGTTGGGGTAAGGACGTGGGAGAAGGTGCTCAGCCCATAAAATTAGTGAACTCGAGTCCTGAAGGCTGCGGGGTCCCCAGGCGGAAATTGAGATGCTGTTCTTCCAGCTTGCGCTGAGCTTCACTCGAGCACTGCAGCAAGCCTGAGAGAGATATGTTGGCCAGGGAACATGGCAGTGTGTTGAAGTGGCAGGCAACAGGAAGGTCAGGATCAGAACATAGGTGTGCAAAGCGGTTGTCCAGTCTGCATTTCATTTCCCAAATGTAGAGGGGACCACATTGTGAGCAATAAATGCACTAGACTAGATTGTGTGAATTGCAAGTAAAGAACTGTTTCACCTGGAAGGTATATCCAGGCCCTTGGATAGTGAGGACGAAGGAAGTAAACAGACAGGTGTTACACCTTCTGCAATTGCAGGGGAAGGTACCTTGGGGGTATGGAGAGATGTTGAGAGTAGAGGAGGACTGGACCAAGGTATCCCAAAGGGAATGGTCCCTGCAGAAGGCTGACAAGGGAGGTGAGAGAGAGGGAAATGTGTGTCTGGTGATGGCATTCTTTTGGAGGTGGCAGAAATGGCCACTAATGATCCTTTGGATGTGGATGATAGGAGAATGGTAAGTGAGGACCGGGGAACCTTATCACTGTTGTGGTAAGGAAGAGAAAGGGTGCTGGCCATAGTGCAGGAGATGATTCCAACATGGCTCAGGGCCCTGTCAACCATGATGGTAGGGAATCATCGGTTGAAGAAGGTGGACATTTCAGAGGACCCTTTGTAGAAGCTGGCATCATTGGAAAAGATGTGACAGAGACAAAGAAACTGGAAGAATGGAATAGTGTCTTCATAGGAAGCATGAGATGGATAATCAAGGTAAACTGTGGGAGTCAGTGGATTTGTGATGGATATCAGTGGCCAGCCTGTCGCCGCAAACAGAAACAGAGATATTGAAAAAGGGAAGGGTGTAGTCAAAGAGGGACTAGGTGAAGATGGAACAGGGTGAAGGTGGAACAGGGTGGAGATTGGAAGCGAAATTGATAAACTTTTCCAATTCTGGACGAGACACGATAGCAGGTCCGTTAATGTCATCGAAGTACCAGAGAAACAGCTGTGGGTGAGGGCCCAAGTAGGACTGGAACAAGGAATGCTCCATTTCCCCAAAAAGATATGGGCATAACTAAGGCCCATGCAGGTACCCATAGCCAGCCCTTTGATCTGAAGAAAGTGAGAGGCGTTAAAGTAGAAGTTGCTCAAAGTGAGTATGAGCTCAGCCAGGCAGAGGAGGATGATGGTGGATGGGTGGTTCAGGCTTTTCTTCCAGAAAGAGCAGAGAACCCCGAGAACATTACCGGATGGGACGTCCATGGTGAAGAGGAGATAACTGGAACCCCTGAACTGGAACTTCAGAAACTGACATAAAGCGTCAGAAGAATTGCAGTTGTAAGTAGGAAGGGACTGGACAAGGGGAGAAAAAAAAATTGAGTTGAGTTCGTTGGGGCAGGAGCAGGCAGAAACAATGGGTCTGCCCAGGCAATCCTGTTTGTAGATTTTGGGAAAGAGGTAGAAGCGGGCTGGTTGGGATTGGACTTGAAGACAACGGTGGATGGAGATCACCAGATGAAATGAGATTAGTGACCATTTTAGATACAATAGCCTGCTTTCTCCATTGCTTTCTCTCCAATTCTTTTCCAGCTGTATGAAGCACCTTGGAATTTCTGAAAGGCACCCTAAATGTAGATGCTCAGCATTGTTGGAGTGCAATTGATAATTGAATGGCAATTAGCTGCTGCCTAGGGTTGTGTTGAGATTGTTCCCTTTGGGAGCCAGGCTGAGATAACTCAAACTCTTGTCATAGAAGACCTGTGGCCAATATCAGGAATAGATGCTCAGTTGTATTTGAGCACAAGACCTAAAAGTGCAAGGGTGCTTAATTCACTGCATCTGCCATTCCTTCAGGGCAATTGTCGATGTTTGCCAGGAAATTTAAACTGAACTCAGAGTACATTCAAGGAATCGGGAAATCATTGAGAAATACAGCAGTTAAGTTAACCAAAACTGACAACAGAAGTATACTTACTTTTATTTTACTGCAAAGAAAGTCACTAGATTTCTGCAAATATGCAACTTCACCCTGTTAATAGATTAGAATGTTATCTACAATACAATAACTCTTTTTAACAAACTCCCCAACATAGTTATTTAACTCTTAGCAATATAATATTGCAAACTGAACAAGAGGTATCAGAATTAAACTGTGCCGAATTCCATGAAACAGGGATTTCTCCTATAACTTGTTATTTTTTAAAGCCCGTGGTTCATATCCTAGAAATTGGGAGCAATTGAATATGACCAGTTGTATTTCTTCAAACTACACAATTAGAAGTGAAGCAGGGAAAGTGGGAGGGAGAGCCCTAACAGACTAACCAACCATCAAGACAAACACACAAATAGAACTGCACTGTCAGCTGAGATGAGATTTGCCTTATGCCCACATACCATATTTGCAGAATGTGCAATTTAGTGAAATGGCATCATTATAATAATGAAGCCTGGAATTTGCCAAGGTCTGTGCTGCATTCCTTCATCTCTTCTAGTTAGATAGTTGAGGGGCAAATATTAGCCTCATAGTTAATAAGAATTAATTTGGGTTTCTGCTCATGATCTTTTATTGATGGCTCTTCTAGGAGTGGAAATGTTTTGGAGCATTGGGCAGGAATCAGCTGTGATCCCCCTATGAACTAAGAGTCTACTAACATTCACTGCTCAGATTCACACAGGTTTACTACAGGTCTAATTCCAGAAATCTTTGTGGAGCTAGTGGCTCTGCATCAACAGCTGAGAAGCTTGGGTGACCAGTTCCAGAATAAACCCTCCTGTTGTGTATGCAGGTTGAAACCTATTTGTCATTCTAGAAAAGGGACTGAAGGAATTTCTCAATGTTGCATTTTCTAAGAAAATTGCATCTGCCAAGACTTCAGAGATATCTGCACACTGAGTATCATCTGGTACACATCTATGTGTACCAGACTGCTGGACCAGAAGATGATGTGAACAGTCCATATCTGATCATTGTTCACTTAATAGACTAAAACCAATTGGCCATTTCTTTTTTCAGAAAGCCAAACCCTGCAGAGAAATCTGTTCTTTTTTAATCCTTTACCTAGTGTAGGTCAGCATGTGTGTTTATTTTGGGGTATTTAGAGGGACAAACATTTATACTTGCATATTACAGAGTGAATCCAATTGCCAGTTTTGTATCTTCATTGAATTAAATTGGTTGTAAAGTAAACCAAAAGAAACTTGATTAATAGATATTTTTATTTAAAACCTGATATAGCAAAGATTTGTAGCTCGGGTTGTGGGTGAGGTTGCTGATTTGCTCGCCAAGCTGACTTGTTCTCGTTCAGACGTTTCATCACCATGCTAGGTGACATCATCAGTGAAATCTCCGATGAAGCGATGTTATTCTACTCTGCTTGGAATTTATACTGTCTGGTCTGTTATGGTGAGTTGTGTCATTTCCAGTTTTGATCTGTATGGGTTTGTGTATGGGGACCAATTCTACATGTTTGTTGATTGCATCACAGGTGGAGAACCATGCCTCTAGGAATTCCTGTGCCTGTCTATGTTTGGCTTGGCCTAGTGTGGTTACCTTTCCCAGTTAAACTGATGGCCTTCATTGTCTGAGTGTACTGAAGAGACTAGAGGATGCAAGACAGATAACCAAGACGGACTACATGAGAATGAAACCAGAAGGCACGAAAACCCCCCGCTTCTATGGACCTCCTAAAGTACACAAACCAGACATCCCTCTCAGACCCATTGTTTCCCTACCAGGCACACCTTCACACAAACTGGCCAAGGACCTACAACATAGATTGAAACACCTAGTCAACAGATCACCACATTCCATCCACTCAACCCAAGAATTCCTCAATACCCTCAAGAACATAAAAATCAGCGACCACGAGATTATAGTATCCTTTGATGTCACAGCTTTATTCAAACCAATTAACATCCTGCTAGCCAAAGAAACAGTGGCCACATTACAAGAGGAAGCAGCAATGCAGATCAGCAGTTCCATCAGCAATGACAACATACTTAAACTATTAGACCTATGCCTCACCACACACTTCATCTTTAATGGTCAAGGATACAAACAGATCAATGGTACACCAATGGGATCACCCATCTCAGGACTCATTGCAGAAGCAGTCATGCAAAGACTAGAACACACCACCCTCCCCCAAATTCAACCTAAACCGTGGATCCGGTACATAGATGACATATTTGTCATTATTAAATGCAACAAATTAGAAGAGACCCACCACCTCAACAACAACGTATTCACAGGGATTAAATTCACAAGGAAAAAGGAAAACAACAATAAATTTCCATTTCTGGACGTTAGAGTTGAGCGTATGACCAACAGCAATTCCAAACCTCAGTATACAGAAAAGCAACCCACACTGATCAAATCCTCAACTTCCACAGCAACCACCCCAACGTCCACAAACAAAGCTGTATTAGGACACTATTTAAACGAGCCAGGGCACGCTGCAACAGTCCGGAACTACGCAGGAAAGAGGAAGGGCATCTATACAAAATCTTCGCTATGAACGGATATCCCCGCAACATCATCCGCAGATGCCTACTCAACAGACAACAAGAGGACACAGTATGCCCTAACACACTGGCCAAACTGCCCTACATCAAGAACATATCAGAACTTACAACAAGCCTCCTAAGACCACTATGAATCATGGTAGCACACAAGCCCACAGCCACTCTACGACAAACACTCACAACGATTAAAGGCTCCATTCCCACAACATGCAGAACCAACGTGGTTTCCAAAATACCATGCAACGACTGCCACAAACATTACATCGGACAGACAGAAAGAAAACTAGCCATCAGAATACATGAACATCAGCTAGCAGCAAAACGACATGATGAACTTTCCTTAATATCAGTACACTCAGACAATGAAGGCCATCAGTTTAACTGGGACAAGGTAACCACAGTAGGCTAAGTCAAACATAGACACGCACAGGAATTCCTAGAGGCATGGTTCTCCATCTGTGATGCAATCAACAAACACATAGAATTGGACGCCATATACAAATCCATACAGATTAAAACCAGAAATGACACAACTCACCATAACAGACCAGACAGTATAAATACCAAGCGGAGTATAACAACATCGCTTCATTGGAGGCCTCACTGATGATGTCACCTAGCATGGTGATGAAACATCTGAATGAGAACAAGCTAGCTTGGCGAGCAAGTCAACAACCTCGCCTGATATAGATATTTAACTTGCCACCTCTGCATCTGGAAAAATGATTTTTATTTTTATGTCATGGCCCTTGGAGTATTGGCATTACTGTGTCCAGTTCTGGTCTCCCTGTTATAAGAAGGATATTATTAAGCTGGAGAGGGTTCAGAAGAGATTTACCAGGATGTTGCCAGAAATGCAGGGTTTGAGTTATAAGGTGAGACCAAATAGGCTGGGACATTTTTCACTGGAGCATAGGAGATTGAGGGGTGACCTTATAGAGGTTTATAAAATAATGAAGGGAATAAATAAGGTGGACAGCAGGTAGCTTTTCCCTATGGTGGGGGATTTCAAGACTAGGGGGCATATTTTTAAGTTGACAGGAGAAAGGGTGAGTGGCAATTTTTTGTTTTTTTACAGAGAGTGGCTCATATGTAGAATGAACTTCCAGATGAATTGGTGGATATGCGTACAGTTACAATATTTAAAAGACATTCAGATATGTACATGAATAAGAAATGTTTGGAGGGACATGGGCCAGGCGCAGGCAGGTAGGACTATTTTAGTTTGGGCTTATGGTCAGCATGGACTGGTTGGCCCAAAGGGTCTGCTTCTGTGCTGTTTGACTATTACAGTAGCAGCACACTCCTTCAAACTCGATAATAACAGCCAATGAAGTATTTTTGAAGTATAGCGACAGTTTTGATTCAAGAAATCGAGCATCCAAATGAGCACACAGCATCCTCCCACATACTGAAACACAATAACATCCAGATCATCTTCTTGAGGGATAAATGTTAGCCAGAAACAAAAGGTAACTCCCCTGCTCTTTTCAAAATAATGTGATGGGATTTTTTTTACATCTACCTGAGAGGGCCGATGGGGCCTCACTTTAAAATCTCATTCAAACGATGGCACCTCAACACTGCAGTGCACCCCCAGTACTACACTGGTGGGTCAGATTATTGCACTCAAGTCCTGAAGCGGAACTTGAAATGCACAACCTTTTGACTCAGAGGTGATTACTACCTACTGGACCTTGTCTGACATACGTAGGAAAAAAATTAGGGAGAAAGATATTGCGTAGATTAAATTTTAAAAGTATTGTTTTGTGAAAATTAATTCTATTTGCAATCACTACACTGAAAGAACATAATTATAATGATTCTAAAAAAATTTAACTAAGGAAAGTCCACTTATCTCATTCATTAAAATAAACTTATGATGGCATGTTTTCTTCTTTGGACACTCGTTTATTAGTTCTAGAAACACTGGAGATTGAAAGAACAATCTCATCCTGTAGTCACTTACTGTAGAGATTTGCAGGAATTGTTCTTAACAGCATAGAAATAGGAAATTCACCCCAACAGGTGTGTATGTTCCATATAAGGTTCTGCCACCTGAGTTCATTTCACCAAAACATTTAGCCCATCATCTAATTATCCATCTTCCTTTTAAATGCATCTATGAAAACCATATTAATCTCTGCATATGTGTTAGACCACACTGTCAATCTCAAAGACCTTTTCCTGAATTCCTAATTGAAATCATTAACAGCCATCTTTTATTCATGGCTTCGGGTTTTGCACTCCCCCACAGATGGGATCACCTTCTCTGTGTCTATTCGATCAAACACATACATAATTTTGAAGATTTTCCATCAGGTCACCACCTCAGTTCTCTCTTTGCTAAAGAAAAGACCCCCAAGTTGATCAGTCTCTGCTGATCATTATACTATCACAGTTTTTGTGATGAATCTTGTATGAATACATCAAACTATTAATAGATGGCAACGTTACAACAGCTGGAAAAAATTATAGCAATCATAAGTACCAGAGTATCCTTGAAAGAACTCTGCAGAGCATCAGTGATTATAGAGGGCACCATGGAATGCTTCAGCTCATTCTCCAGCTCTTGAATCATTGCTGTTGTTTTACAAATACGGTCTCTCAGTGACAACATCTGCTCCATGCCATGCGGCAGCTGTTTTCTAGTTTTCATGTACTTCAAATTAGACTGCTCCTCTACAATTTAAAAGAAATAAACAGAGACTTGCATTAATATAGCACCTTTCACAACCTTGGGATACCCTGAAATACTTTTTAGGAAAATACATATACGCAATTTTGAAACACAGGGAAAAACAGTAGCCAATTTTCACAGGTAACAAAGTGTAGAGCTGGATGAACACAGCAGGCCAAGCAGCATCAGAGGAGCAGGAAAGCTGACATTTCGGGCCTAGACCCTTCTTCATTTTCTGAAGAAGGAGACATTAAAGTGAGGCCATAGCTGACCCCATGACGTAATTTTGAAGGAAAGCAGGAGCGTTTTCCCTGGTGTTCTAGTTAATATTTACCGAACAATCAGTAAGCAATAGGACCTGACTGTTACCCCATTGTTATTTTGGCACCTCAGTATGTGAAAATTGGCTCGGAGATAGTAGGAACTGCAGATGCTGGAGAATCTGAGATAACAAGGTGTAGAGCTGGATGAACACAGCAGGCCAAGCAGCATCAGAGGAGCAGGAAAGCTGATGTTTCGGGCCTAGACCCTTCAGAAGGGCCAAAATAACAATGGGGTAACAGTCAGATCCTATTGCTTACTGGTTGTTCGGTAAATATTAACTAGAACACCAGGGAAAATGCTCCTGCTTTCCTTCAAAATTATGTCATGGGGTCAGCTATGGCCTCACTTTAATGTCTCCTTCAATATACAGAACAATATTATTACTTTGGTCACAATTCTCATTCGGACAGCTTTTCAGATAAACTGTACTAAGAAAGCAATGAAACTAAGCACCTAACTTAGATTAAATTAATATCCATAATTTTGAACACAAGTGATACAAAATGACTCAATTGGGCATTCATAAACTAAATCCTCTGATGGGAGAATATAGAACAAAGGTACACAACTTTAAAATTAGAGCAAGATCAATCAGGGTGGAAATCTGGAATAATTTTTTCCACACAAAGGATAGTAGAAATCTGGTACACATCCCTGAAAAAGACTGTGAATGTTGCGTCAAATTAAATTTTCAAGAATGAGATTGATAGATTTTTATAGGGAAGGCGAACTAATAAGCCAAGGAGGGTAAATGGAGTTTAGGTACAGATGATCTGCCATTTAATAGAACAGGCTGAAGAGTCTGAATTATCTCTTCATTGTGCAGTGACTGCAAACACAAGTACCTCCTAAACTATTAACTCAAACTTCACATGGAATTATATACTAGGTGAGATGAAAGGCGTATTATTATTTTTGGAACCTGGATTTTAAAATATGACTTCAGCCAACTACTTAGCAGATCCTTTGGTGTTAATAGATAAGAGGTTTATACTGTTGGGTTAATGGCAGGCAGAATAAATATACTAATTTAGTTTTGACTTCAGGGCAAAAGAATCAACTTTTTCTGGTCAGTTCCACTGGGTCCAGTATTCAGTGCTGAAGAAAACTACGCTCTGCATGAAAACTTTACCCCACTGGTCCTTTTTAAATCTTCCCCCTCTCACCTTAAACCTAGTTTTGGACTCCCACATCTTAGGAAAAGGACTTTGGCTATTCACCCTATCCATGACCCTCATGGTTTTATAAACCTTTATAAGGTCATCCTTCAGTCTCCGATGCTCCAAGGAAAAAAAATCCCAGCCTATTCAGCCTCTCCCTATAGCTCAAACCATCCAGGCCTGGCAACATCCATGTAAATCTTTACTGCAACCTCTCAAGTTTAACAACATCCTTCCTATGGAAGGGCGACCAGATTTGTATGTAGTGTTCCAAAAATGGCCTAACCAATGTCCTGTACAGCTGCAACATGACATCCCAGCTCCTATAGTCAATGTTATGACTAATGAAGGCAAGTGTGTCAAATGCCTTCTTCACCAGCCTGTCTATCTGCGACTCCACTTTAAAGGAAATAGGCACCTGCACCCCGAGGGCTCTTTGTTTGGCAACACTCAACAGGGCCCTACCATTAACTGTATAAGTCCTGCCCTGATTTGCCTTACCAAAATGCAACACCTCACATTTATCTAAATTAAGTTCCATCTGCCATCCCTCAGTCCATTGACCCACATGATCAAGGTCCCATTGTACTCTGACATAATCCTCTTCACTGTCCACTATATATCTAGCATATTTACCTTCTGTGTAATAAACATATATTCAATTGTTAAAGAATATCTGTAGCTTCATGTGAATGCATTTCAGTGACTAACCTCTGCGTTAACCAATAACAAAAAATAAATATGTGATCTATCAAGTCATGTTTCATTCTGGGATTTAACTTACCCAGTAAGGGATCACAATACAAGACAGAATACTGCTTCTACTTGATTTCTTTCAGTAAGTAAATCAATTTCTTGTGACCATTACTTAGAAAATTTAAAAGTATGAGTAAAATCATTACTTTTCTAACTAAACTTTGCTGAACTCATTATGATTTTAACATGCTATACTTGAGATAAAAACAGTTTAAACCACTTGTTAATAATAGATAATTCAGACATATAATAAATAACACTTGTATGTATTGAGGTATACATAGCTGTGGTTATTAATTCTAGCTGATTTTAGAAAGACTCTTGCCATTTCACAGAATTACAATAACCACCAAAAAAGAAAGGTAATTCAAACCAACTGATCAATACCAGTGTTTACATGAGTATCCTCTCATCATAGCAACGTTACTTTTTGTTCTTTTTATCCTCATGTTCTTATCCAGCTTCCTCTTAAGTGCATCTATGTTTATTTACCTCAACCATTCCTTGTGGTGAGGAGTTGTACATTATAGATATATAGGTGGAGTAGTTTCTCCTGAATTTCATATTGGATTTGTTAGTTTCTATCTTATTTTTGACCACCATCTATGAAGTTTAAAAAAAATGAGAACATCTTCTCTGTTACACACATTATTATAAAGGCCTCTACTAAATCACCCCTCAGTCTTCCCTTTTTCATGAAAAAGGAGCTCCATTCTGTTCAATCCTTACTGATAGGAACAGGAGTATCTGTTTTAGACCCTCAAGCCTATTCTTTCATTCAATGAAACCACAGCTGAATCACACCAAATATTCAGGTGCCCATATCACCCTCACATACCCATCAATAATGACAGCCTTTCACACTTTCTTCTCACAGGTTTCACAAACATCCAGCCATTCAACTATGGCAGGCCTTTCACAACATACTCACTGACACTCTTCCCTCTCTTGAAGCATATGGTTGTCCACAACATTCACAATGATGGTATGTCCCTTCCTTATCCCTCTTCTCAAATTTCACCTCACCCTCATCCTCATCCTGCCATCTGGCATGAAGTACAAGCTGCAGATAGTGTGACCATGAGCCTCTTACTTTCCATCCCATTCACCGACCTTCATTCATGCAAACCCCCATGTTTGATTTTCTGTTTTCAGATACTTTGGAGCTATTGCCTGATCAGTCACTGTAGCCTCCTGAACAGTGAGAGATGTGCCTCATCACTGTCGAAAAATACCATCACTTGATGGAATATTCACTGACGCCAGTTCAGATACTGGCACTGTGTACACCTTTGACGGAATATAGTATCCTGATCTACTCATAGTGAAGCATGAACAATGAGGTATGAGTGAGCGGTGGCCAAGTCAGAAGGGTAGGACAGTTTGTTTACCAGCTTGCCATAAAACGAAGTCACAGTTGAATTCTGCTGCAGAGACTAAAAATTCAATGGGGCAACCTACAGAAGAATGCCACAGAGCACTTACACCGAGATGTTTGGTACATTGACAGATTTGCTGAGCAGCCCCTAGCTATTTCAAGGAGTTTGGAGGAATCTGGTTTCAACAATGACATATTGATCACAAAGAGCTGGGAGTCCATACTTTGTGAGAACGATGGCCAGGTCCAGGACAGCACTTGTGGAACATGTTACAATTTAGCATCTGGGCATTGTTTTCTCAGTTTCATTGCAGCAGAGACGGAAGCTACCCAACTTCTATTGCCTGGCTGGATGCAGGATTCAACCCTCAAATGAGGAATGCAGTTCTCACAAGAGTGTAACAAACTGTCCTCTAATATATTACTAGGATTAGCTCCATGGAGTACAATACTGCTGTTCTATAATGGGATGACAGCACTCATACTCTCAATGCTGACAATCCGCCAGTGCCCTTGCTTTTGGATCTATGAGCCAGTCCAGATTGCTGCCACTATACCAATCCTAAATTGGGTCTTCAAGGTCCAAAACTGCTCATCCTCTCCTGTTAAGAAAATTCCTCCATACACGGGATCAGCTTAGTGCACCTGCTCTGGACTGCCTCCAATGCCGATATATCTTTCCTTAGATAAGGGGACAAAAACTGTTCACAACTGTTCTGGTGTGGTCTAAGTACAGTCATGTATAGTTTCTGCAACACTTCCCCTTTTGATATTCCACTCCCTTTGAAATAAAGACCAACATCCTATTTGTCTTCCGTCTTTTCTGAAGTTGGATGCCTGTGATTCGTGCTTGAGGATGTTCAAATTCCTCTATGTTGCAACTTTTTGCAGTCTTTCTTCATTTAAATAATAGTCAGCTCTTCCCATCTTCTTGTTAAAAGGGAAAAACCTCACATTTTCCACATTATATCGCATGTCTCTTGACTGTAGCAAAATGCACAGCAAAGCGAACACTTACACAAAAATAAATGCAGATCTTTATGAAATTTAACGGAAGAAAATCAATGTCTTCAGGCCATGTAGCAACTTATGCTTATTCTAAATAAATAGCAGGCTAAAATTACAAGGGAGAAACTGCACTAAGCAAAGAGTTACAGCACAAAGTTCTCATCCCCATTTCATTAGTATTTCATTCTGATACCCCTCCTGAGGGGGCTTGCCAATCCTTCTTAAACTGATAACCCTGAAGCAAAATTTAACTCACCTTGCTGTTCAGACAAGGGCTCCAGTTTGGAAAGTTCAGCCTCAAGTTCATTTCTGAGCCTAAACAAGAAATATGTTGACTGAATATGTTAAAAGCAAGCATCAGGACTATATTGAACACTATATGGGTAGCTCCATGTGGTGATTCTGCCCTTTCACAAACCCAAGTTGTTGTCCATCATGTGCCCTCCCAACCGTTTCCACAGAAAGGGACCCTAGACTTTCCATCAACCGAAAAGACCTCAGCTGATTTTTGGTGGCTAAGTGTCAAATATCTGTTAACTCATTGTTGCTGCACCATTAGCTGCTGTGAATCAGTGACACCATTTGACACCAAACTTTCAACCTAACAGTTAGCAGCCCGTGAAATCCCATGAATCTCACTTTGCCTTTCATTGGATGTGGGCATCATTGCTGTCTTCTTGAACAGCTGCATGCCACGCGGTCTAGGACACCCACTGTTAGAAAGGAAACCCCTCGTCTTTGAGGTTGTAGTTATATAGTTCCAAGTCAGGATGACATGTCATACATCTGGTGTTCTCATACATCTGCTGTCCTTGAACTTCTAGCTGGTACAGGGTGTGGGTTTGGAAGGTGCTGTTGAAGGAATCTGGGCAGGTTTCTGCATTACGGTACATTCCGTTGCTACTATACATTGGTGGTGAAAGGAGTGAATGTGAAGGTGGTGGATGTGGTGCCAGTCAAGTGGGGATGCTTTGTCCTGAATGGTGGAATTTCTTGAGTGTTGTTAGAGCTGCATCCATCCAGGCAAGAGGAGAATATTCCATCATACCCCTTACTTGTGTCTTGTAGGTGATGGATAGACATTTGGAAAACAGGAGATGAGTATCTCCCTGCAGAATTTCTAGTCTCTGACCTGCTGTTGTAACCACAGTATTTATCTGACTGGCCTAGTTCAATTTCTGATTAATAGTAAAGATCATGATGTTTAAAGTAGGGCATTCAATTATGGTAACATCACAGAACATCAATAGGGAGATTCTTAGATTCTCCCTTGTTGGTCATGATTACTTGTCTGCCACTTGTACGACATAAATGCTTTTTGCCATCTATCAGTCCAAGCTTGAATATTGTCCAGGTCTTGCTGCATTTGGACATGGGTTCTCTCAGTATCTGTGGAGTCATGAATCATGCTGAACACCGTGCAATCATTAGCAAAAATCCCCACTTCTGACCTTTTGATGGAGAAAAGGTTATTAACGTAGCAGCTAGAGATGTTTGGGCCAAGGGCATTACACTGGGAAACCATCGCCTCTTGTGGTGCAGTGTGGATGCCTGGGTTCAAGTCCCACCTGTTCCAGAGGTATGTAATACCATTTCTGAACAAGCTGATTAGAAAATATCAATTCTGAGGAAACTCTGAAGTACAATTAATAAAATACACTACTTTTGTTTCTCTGGACTGTTTTGAACGGTCAGTTTAAAGGGTGTACCTGTTGGTGGCAGTACGTGACACAAACAGAAATGCTGGATACATAGAGAATGTTACCGTATGATATACATGCAGCTGCCCATGATTGGTGAAGGCAGCCTGGTGGCAGGGGTTGGTGTAGAATAAAAACACCACACCAGTGCCCAATAAAGTTACTCTGACGGGAGGGAATGTTTCTGTAAGGAATGGGAAGGGCTTGCTGCGGAGGATGGGATGAGAGGGGAGGATGAGATGATGGAATGGCTTAACTATGGAAAAATGGGGGGGAAATTAATTGATACAACTTATTATTCAATATTTGTCCTAAAAATGAAGGTTCACTGGATTTGAATGATAACATATCTGAAAAGTTGCCAAGTGAATTAAAAGAATATATTGGCAATGATTCTATAGATAAATGATGATGATAACAGTTTATACTGTCCAGAGTTTCTACGCAGTCAGACTTCAATAGGCATGCACCATCATACTAAATTAAACTCAAGGTAGGAGTAGTCTTAATACTTTTACAAAACTTAAAGGCTAGATTAGTACTTGGTCATAGAACAAGATTGGTAGTCAAAATTTATTTTCTTTAATGGTAGATGCAGAAATAATAATACTGATTTCAAGAAATAGAGAGCCAGATCTTCCTCTGAGTTTGGGCAAACCTGATTTGTGCACTTTAGCAGCTGACAAACTGCACGTGTGACATATGTGGGACTTGAACTGTTATTTTTGTCTTTTCGTATTTGGGCTGAGTTTGCAGTGTGTGAGGAGTGTGGGTACAGAGATAGAGTTAGGTAGAAAGCCCTCCTTGGTTCTCCAACACAGGATTCTAGCTAAGTCCCAACTGTATTAAAAGTTTTCAAGCACTCTAGCCCTTCCCATCCCATCTTCAGGCCCTCCATTCATAAATAAAACAAACTCAAATCAAATCCATGCTAATCCCTCCCTGCCCATCCAGTTCTACTGAAAATTTTCTTATACCGGTCCTCATTATGCATGCGTGGTTGAGAACACAGACTCACAAAATAATTTTATCAGAGGGATCATGTTTTGACACCTGGAGAGAAATGTTGTTGACTTTCCTTAATTGGCATCTTGAGTTGGTAAGAATAAATTGTTTTTTCACTGATCTCGGTGTTTATTTGCACAATCAAGAGGTATGAAGCTTTTGTTTTTGATACTGCAATGTCTGTCTGATTGACACTTTTATAGGGTTATAGGAACTGCAGTGTTTTCTCACATCAAACTTGTGATCTTTTTCTGAGTAGCCATTACTATATGCTTCATTGTTTATGTACATAGTGTATACTGGACAACTGGGCATGAACGTGCAACATGTTGGTTTGTAAGATATAAGGGGCCATGGAGAATGAATAGAAGTCATGAGTTGACGTGGAGGCCACATGGGATGATAGGGGTGCAGCCATCAGCCAGTGAGTGTGATGATGCTCAAGAGGTTGCTCCCTCTTGTGACCCAGTCATAGTAGCTGGTCTTTCATGGCAACTACAATAAAGCTGTTGGCTTGCCTCACACGCGTCTCCTGTTTAGGTTCCCCACTTCATTAACTAGTCCAATTCCCCAGTTTGATAGTGAATGGGGAAGCTGTAAATTGATCATCTCCACCAAGATCACACTGGAATGTGACAAGAGCAGGGATAGGACTCAGAAATAATATCAATGTTTTTATTTTCATTAAGTGGAGTTAATTTTGGCCAACATCTTTATGATAATATCAAAGTTAAAGCAATATTCTCATTGGTAAGGCATACACATACTTATCATTCCTCTGCAATGCGAGTCTTGCTTCCTGCTCCAGACTTAAAAGTTTTTGTTGCACCTCCTCTACGTGGTGAGTTTTCACTGTTCTGGTAGTCATACCTCGGAGTTCAGCCAGCAAGATCTGTTGTATTTAGAAGAAAATTAATTTTAAAATCATTAAGCTACCTGAAAACCCAATCTTTAAATTTTTATCATCAACAGTGATCAACAAAATACGGCCACCGTCCTGCAATTCAGTGGTCATTGTATCTTTGCCCCATTATAGTGATACAGCACCATAGTTCTTCATTGTCTTTTAGCATTTCCAGCTTCTTGGTGCAGAAGGTGCAATATATAATAGTAATGAATTAATCAAAGAAAGAAATGCATTTAAGTAGCACTTTTCATGACTCAGGCACATCAAAGCACTTTACACACAATTAAGTACATATTACACCGTGTCTTGTTGTGGTGCAAAAATATGACAGCCAATGTGCATACAGCAAGCAGGCAGACACAGCAAAGGAATAGAAATCAGATCATCAATACTATGTGTTGGTTAAGAGCTAAATATTGGCTAGGATGCCAGAGTTCCACTGCTTATCTTCAAATGGTGCCACAGGGCCTTTTAATTCCACATGAGAGAATGGCAGGGTATTTGAAAAAGAGAATCTCTGAAAGTGTGACACTCTCTCATAACTGCACCCTTGAGAGTGTGCACATATGTCTTTGTAGTGGTCTATGAACCCACAATTCTCTAGACTCTGAGGTGATAATACTATTAATTGAGTCAAGGTTGATACTCAAGAGACTCACTTCTTCATAAGCATTATGGGAATTATGAGCACAATTTGATTAACATGTTTCCTGAATTAAAGCATTCTGTTGATACTCGCTCAAGATATGAATGACGAGGTTTCTTTCAGTCTTGCCCAAATTCAGCAGCAAAGGAGCTCCACTGAACAGCTTTCGTAAGCAATTTTTGTTGACAGTCTACAGATTATCAAGTTTATTTGTAGCATTTTAAAAAATAATTCTTGGGATGTAGGCATCATTGTCAAAGGTTAGCACTTATCACCTAACAATAGTTACCCTAATCTGTTCATCTTGGCCTCCTTAGTGCTGTATGTGTGAAGGTGGTCCTCTAGTGTTGTTATAGAATTCCTGGATTTTGACTAAAATTTGAACTCAGCTTCTGACCTGCTTGGTAGTATAACTATTCAGAGTTGATCAAAGTTAAGGGAGCAAAAATTGCAAGTTGGCAAATAAGGTTGAAGAGGATGATTGGGTTAAGTTCATAAATGTGAGAATCTGTAATAAAGATCTTGATGTTAACTTGCTGAAACACAACCAAAGAATCTTGTAACGGAAAATAATATAAGCAATAGTATTTTGAACTGTTCCTATATTAACAGATCCCTATCATTTTGCAGTATGTGGCATTCAGACAAATTCAATTTCTTTTAACCATATTGAAAACTACATAGAAGGTTAACATTTCTTAACTGTATATTATGTCATTTACACAGTGAGTGTTTCTGAATTGTTTAAACACTGGATCAAGCCCAGATATAATAATTTTTGCTTTGTGAAGTAGAAATGGGTCATAGATCAAATATTAAGAAAAGCAAAAAATGAAACAAACTTGAAAAGGAAATTCGATTAGTAAGGGGAGACAGAATACTCCGATGGGGGAAACAAGGATTGAAGCAAGTTTAATAAATAAATGCAATGTAACTTTTTCCTTCATTTTTCTGTTGCATGTGAGACAATATGTTTTACTGACTTTGCATTTTCCAAGGGTCTGTTTATGGGATGTTACTATATTGGAACAGTTGCTGTTGCTGTGTAATAGTTAAATAATCTATTATTCTATTAAGTTTTCCAATAGAATTAAAATTATATCAATTCTTCTTTCTTTTGTTTGTATTTAACTAAGAATAAAGTGTGTTTTGCTTAAGCCGTTAAGTATAACCAATCAAATTATATCTGGTACACAGCACCTTACACTTGCCTTTAATAAGATAAAAATTAGGGTATAGGCTATCTCTTTGATATATTTGAAGGGAGTTGTCTGGTCCATAACAACACGTAGGCTTGTATGAAGAGGTGTAATTTCAACATACATTACCTTGTGTTGATCCGTTGGCTGAGATTCCAAGAGTGACATCAGGTACAAATCATATTCGGCCTGAAAGATGCAGATTCAGAAGAGAGGTGAAACGGAAAAGGTGACAATAAACAATAGACAGCATTTTATGTTACAAAAATAATTTTTTGTTAAAAAGAGAAAGCAAACTACAATGCAGAATGAGATTTCCATTTCTTGCTATCTCCATCTATCTCTATGTCACTTTCTCCTGGCTCACATAGGTAATAATGTACGATTGCTCTCTTCTGACAAAATGACATCCATCAGCTTCAAACTTGAACTAGACATTTTTAATTGAAGAAACCTTGAATAAATAATCACAAACACACTTTCAATTTCTACACCTCACCAGTGGTGGTCTTAATTTGGAAACTGAAACAATATTAAATGAAGCCAGAGACTGTAGGAACTGCAGATGCTGGAAAATCTGAGATAACAAGGTGTAGAGCTGGATGAACACAGCAGGCCAAGCAGCATCATAGGAGCAGGAAGGCTGACGTTTTGGGCCTAGACCCATGTATTTTTCAGTTTAATACATTGTCTGAAATTTCTACACTGCAAGTGTAATGAGAACTATATCATTCTTCTGTTAAGCACACCTTTCCTGAATTTTAACAGAATTTGCTATTATAGATTTTACTTTTTCAAAAAAGCTTTTGAAATTTTCTTCCTGTATAAAATTATCTGAAGAAAAGCCACTGAGCTAAAAGAGGTAGCAAGACTGCAGATGCTGGAGTCAGAGATAATACATCCTCATTTCTGAAGAAGGGTCCCGACCTGAAATGTCAACTTTCCTGCTCATCTGATGCTGCTTGGCCGGCAGTGTTCCTCCAGCTCCACACTGTGTTATCTACTGAGCTAAAAGCTAGAAGAAAAATATTCCATTGGTGTAGCTGATTCACTGGTGCTGATAAATCCTGGAAAGTTACTCAGAATGCATAACCCAAATTCAGCTCATATTCAGAACTTCAAGCAGAATTTGTTATATTGTCAATTTTAAGATATTAGCAATTTCAATTCTAAGGAATGAAATGACAATTTAAAAGAAAAAAAAACAGAAAATGTGTTTTTAGATATTTAGTGAATGAGATTAGAAATTCCATAATGCAAGGGTTTAACACAAAATACGAACATTTTAAATGATGGCAATAGATAAATGATGGCACAGAAAATTAGATTTGGGAAAATATTGACAGAAAAAGTGTGACAAATATAAGTGCAGAAAGTGATTAACATAGACAGAAGTTTTTTTTTTGAAAATCATACTTTCTTTGTTCTTTTTAAATAATTTATGGAGATAGACAATTAATTAAATAGGACAGAGTCCTCCCTTCCTGGAGTTGCAGGTCCACCTCACATGGTCAGGTGACAGCATTTCTGTCCCATATCTAGAGATCATGAGGGAGAATTGTTTGGGCACAAGTCTAAAATCCCATAGGTTTGAAACAATTTGTCTCCATGTGGAACAGTCATCCATTCAAAGCAGTTCCCAACATTGACAGAGAAAAGAGCGTGAAACAATAATATGGATGCAATGCCTTGAACAGTTTGATTCTTAATGGATTTCAATTACTTATGGGATCATGTCGACGCTTTCCAAAAAACATTTCCATAGTAGACATGGCATTAAAAGCAACATTTAGTTACTTAATATCTATCATTTTTAAAATTTTAAAGAACATATTCCATAAGTCTTTAAAGGTAGCTTTACATACAACTATTCTAGTTACAGAAACAAAAACAGGAATTGCTGGAAAAAAAAGAGTTCTGAGGAGGAGTCACTCGAACAGAAACATTAACTCTGATTTCTCTCCACAGATGCTGCCAGACCTGCTGAACTTTTCCAGCAATTTTGGTTTTTGTTTCTGATCTGGTGGACGTGGATAAAATTACAACATTTAAAAAACATTTGGATGGATACATGAATTGGAGAAGTTTCAAGGGGTATGGGCCAGGAGCAGGCAGGTCGGACTAGTTTAATTGGGGATTATGTTCGGTATGGACTGGATAGACCAAAGGGTCTGTTTCAGTGCTGCATGACTCTATGACTCTATAGCATCTGCAGTTCATGCGGTTTTTATTATAATTAAAGACTGTCCTTTAGAAAGCAGCCTCTTGACTAGGATAAATTAGACACTTCCAAAACAGACTAGATTCCATCCACAGGGACTGTATGCAGGTTTAATCATGATGAATGAAGCTATTATGGGCCTTTTTCAGTAACATCGCAAAAATCCATTTACAAACATAATTATAAGTGTTATTCGAAAAGGAAGAAATGAATCCATGAAAATGAAAAAGGATCACCATCCCTCAAATGGCAGCATCACATTGTATCCACTATCTTCATTCACAAACCCTTGAAGGACAGTGCAGCATCTCAATAGTTATTGATAGAGACATTATAAAGAATTTTGACAAAATATCAAAGATTTTTAAGTCTTTGTGCTTATGGTAAAGAACACATGGAATAACAAAATTCATTCAACTCATCTAAACTCACTTCTTCCAATAGACAATCCACATTTTGCCATAGTGGGCCTGTGCGCTTCATTTTATCACAGGACAGAAGTGAATAATTATAGCTCAAGATGATGTGATGGTGTGGGCACTTAAAGCAGAGACAATAGTATGAACAGGAAACATTTGGACCAACAGTGTGATTTAGAAGTAAATGATCTCAGGAGAAAATATTTTTGTGATATGTACTCACACACACATTTTACTGCTGTAATATAACCACAAACATGGTACATTTATGACTGGTGTGATGAAAGTTATTGTTTTCAATATTGTGCTAATTTCAAAGAGAGAAAAGATTATTATTGAAAGGAACCTTGTACCCAGAAATAGCTTTATAAGACTGGGTGGATCTGCTGGCATGAAGAATTTAATGTGAACAAATGCAAGACATTTTAGCAGAAAGAATAGCTGGAAGGGTGATCTAGGTGAGCTAACACTGTAAAAAGAAGAGAGAGCTAGGGGTTCAGATGAGGAAATTTTTTAAAGTAGAAGGTTTTGCCTCTCATGTTCACAGTCATATTTCCTAGAACTCCATTTCTGAAACCCAATCAAATTTCTGACCCTATCACTGAGCCAAATGCTTATCAAAGTCATGAGTGACATCTCATATGGCCATGAAAAGTCTAAAATATTCATCCATATCTGCTAGACCTGTCTGCACACTTTGACACACAATTCTCCTCTGATGCTGTTCTACTGACCTCCAGTTGGGTGGAACTACACTTATTTGGCCCATTCAATTTATCGAGTTACAGCCAGAGAATCATGTACAGTGGCTTCTCTTCCCCCCCCACTGCAGCATTATCTCTGGTGTCACCCAAGGATCTATATTTGGCATGTTCCCATTTCTCATCTACATGCTGTCCCTCAGTGATATCATTCAAAAATATGTCTCCCATGTGTCATGCTGACATTTAGTTCTACCTCATCACCAGTTTTCTCACGAATTTTCTTTCCAGATGCCTGGGCCTCCAAGTTCAGTGCACAACAGTGATTTCTGGAAGTCACTGCTGCAATCGGTCTGCCAACACTGATTGCTGTGTGCGGAACCTGGCACAATTTAGAAGAAATGTTGATCACTGCCACTTCCCTCGATGCCTGTAACGTCTTAAAGTTGCTAGTCTGACATCTGGTACTGGATGAATAGAAATTAGCACCAGCTTAGTTAGTCATAGTCTTCAACCCCTCCATAAACTGTATTTCCCAGCAACCAAATCTAACCACCTCCTTTCCCCAGATAACTGTCTGGTTCAGCTACAGGCAGTTTGCAATTTTGGTGTCATACTTGACTCAGAAATAAGACTCTGACTATGTATCCACGCCAACATTGACTGCTTGCTCCAGTGCCTTAACACCTTCAGACACTTCTATTGTCTCAGCTTATCTGCTGATGAAGCACTCAATCACACCTTCGTTATTTCAAAATGTGCCTATTCCAATTTATACCTGGCTTGTCTCCCATGTTTTACCCTGTTAAACGAGAGTTTGTCAAATACTTTGCTGTCCTTGAAGCAAGTCCTACTCACACACTATACCTGAGCTACACTGGTTTCCATTTAAGATATTCTTCAATTTTAAAAATCTCATCTTTGTTTAGGAGGCATGGTCTTGCACCCCCCCCCACCTCTCTCTCTCTCTCTATAATCCCCTCCAGCCTTACAACTTTATCACACCGTATCAGCGGCTGTGGCTTTAGCTGCCACGAGCTTAAGATCTGAATTTCCCTCCGTAAGTTTCTTACTTCTCCCTCCTTTAAAACATGTTTACAGGGTACCTTGTGATGAAAACATTGGTCATCATCACTAATTTTTCCTTACATGAAGGAAAGTCAAATTCTGTTGTATATCACTCCTATGAACAACCTTAGGATGTTTTACTCTGTTACAGGCATTTTATGAAATCAAGTTATTGTTGCGTGATCATGAAGATGATACATAGAACTGAACATTTGTTAATTTAGAAAAGCGGGTTACAAGACAAAAAACTACACTACTGCAGTAACTGTTATTATCTAATGTGGTCTGAAAGGATGACCAAGATCTCATGGAATGATGGATATAATAGACTTAAATACTGGACACAAATTCGACTGGGACAACACATCCATAATAGCACAAGCCAAACAGAGACATGCGAGGGAATTCCTGGAGGCCTGGCATTGCAACCGGAACTCCATCAACAAACACACAGAACTGGGCCCAATATACAAACCACTGAAAAACAGAACCAGAAGTGATGCTAACCACAACAGCAAACCAAGGCATATAAATAACAAGTGGGACAGAACACCAGTGCTTCACTGGAGGTGGACTGACGATGGTACCTCGCAGGGTGACAAAATGTCTGCAATCGAACTCACCGGCTCAGCGAGCAAGTCTGCAACCTCATCCACAACCCAAGCTACAAATCTTCTCAGAAACTTTAGATGGATATAATAACTAAGGATTAATTGGATGTGAATTGGTTGTTTGGATTTGAAGAACTAGTAGTCAGTGGGGTATGAGTTTTATAGAATG